ATCTCCTCCCTTCCTTCCAGCTCCAAATCACTTGATTTAGCCATGTCACTACCCTTTGAAGCAACTAAACTTAGAACACAACAGCAGCAGCTCCATGCGTCCAGATAATATTTTGCAATAAATAGAAAAATAGCCTTTTTTCTCTGTCTATCTCTCTTTAACTGTCCCTAAATTATTTGTCCATAATTTATCTGTAATCTCATCTGGACACCTGAACTGTGTAGACTACTGTGCAGTGGATTGCATTCTAAGGTCTGTGTGCATGTGTGTGCGTTTGCCTTAGAGGTCACCCTCTCTCCACATTCCCAGTGCTCTGATTATTTGTGTTTTGTCATGTTTCATCAAAATCTGAATATCACACACCACATAGTACCATATATACAACATCTGCCCCTCTTCTTGGGCAGTTTTAAACAGACAATGTAGCAATGATGTCACCTGCAAGGTTTGACCTAATTACGGTTACTCTGATAATTTCCCAACCCCTTTGTGCTCAGTATTCATTACAAACATAGGATGTTCAAGTTTAGTATTACTTTCTAAGATCTCAATGGTATTCATTTTAGTTTCAATATGTTTGAGATTTTACTTTATCTGTGAGAGGTTGTAACTCACCCAGTGTGTTTTTGGCTGGATCCTGTCACTAGGCTCCGTCCCTCCCTCTTCAGCTCAGTCCATTTATTTTCTTTTTTTTTCTTGCCAGTCTGTTTTGAAATTGTGCAACATCTCTTTTCCAATGTCCACTTTTGCCCTTTGCCCCCTTCCTCTGTACTGTCGTTTCTTCGTACCAGGATGGCTTGATACAGCACCAATCATTTTCTTTTGACAGTTGTTTTGGTGTTGATCTTTTATGTTAAGCATGCTCTGTCGTGCTGTCTGTCTTGCATGATGTGAAATACAACTCTTCCTTACTCCAGCAGCAGTTTCTGGACTAATCAAACTCAGAACTTTCAGGGTTCATCGCATCTTGTTTCAGACCTCTGTAGTCCTAAGGTGATGGTCATGCGACTAGGAGAGTCCTACATGATTCGGTCTGGTCTTGCTGTTCAGCTGCTGGCCTGCATCATGCGGGCAGAACTTAGTCCAGTGGTAATTCTGGACTGTGCATTGTCCTCTCTACTCAGCGTACTTCAAACTGCTTTCCTTCTTCTCTGGCTGGAGTGACGTATGATGAGGAACATTTTATCTTATCTTTATGCTGATCTTGTGGAAGTCCAGCTTGATTTGATTTTCTCATCGCTGTGTTTATGTCAGTCATTGTGGCCCATACTCTTTGACAACCTTAACCGAACTGCTCCAGCTGTGTCTGTGGAGCTGTCGAAGGTTTCAGTCAGGCTGGTCACATGAGCCATGGCTTCAACAATGTCCTCTTTTTTTCCTGGCATTTCTTTCTCTGGGCATCTGGAGGGAGAGCCAGTGTCTCTTTATCTGACTTTTACTGGACTGGAGCACATTTCCTTCTGTGCACCGGCAGTGGGCCTTTAATTCTTGGTTTCTCATCTCCCTTTTGCTGCCTGGTCAGATTTCAGCAGCACCAGGGCACACCGGTGGTCTTCTTACTGGACTGGATCGCATTTCGTTTTGTGGATCAGTGGATGTTTAATTTTTTTGGTATCTCTCTGTTGCTGCCTGGTCAGATTTCAGCAGCAGCTTCACCCATGGCATACTCTTCTTAATGGACTGGGACTGGAGCATGTAGGAGGAGGAGGAGCGGAGTCCAGGACTGGATCAGCCGGAATGGATTCCGTGATTTGTACCTCGGTTAAAGAAGATATAATCAGTTGATCGGTCATCAAAAGGCTAATCAGTTTTATCAAATCCTTAATGAATCTATTCTAATTTTCAGTCCTGAGCTCTCCTTGTCCTCAGTTCTTGTCTTACTCATCTGAAATGCAGTTTGTTTACTTTTCTTTCGTCTGGACAGGGCTGCACGCTCTATTGCATTTCTGCTCTCCTTTCTCTCCAAACATGTCTAAAGCTGGTTCAACAGTTTTAGGCTAAAGCTTCCATTTTTGCAGGAAACCCATTTCAACCCACTTATCAAATTGTCCCATTAATGTCTAATATTTTAGTCAACAATTTCTGGTGAAACAACTGGTGAAGGTAATCTGGGAGTGGAGTCAGACTTTACTTTACTCTGACTCTTGCCATAGTCTACTCTCTCCAGCTAGTCTGTACTCGGGTCCATAGCAATATCTGGGTCCACTGAGTTGAGTTAAGTCTGAGGTTACGCGCTGCATACCTAACTTATCAGCTGGAAACCCCAAAAACCCTCGGACACCACAGAGAAAACCAGGACACGTCTGTCCGTGAGCCCCTGATCCAGTCCCACTCTCCATCCACTTGTCAGTTTACAAGCAGATAGAGGTTCCTGCAAATCATTCAGGCGTGAGAAATAAGACCACTTCCTTCACTCTGTTCAATCTCACTCTTTTTATCTTTTCTCTCTCAATAATCTACTCATTTCTCACCGTGTGAGTTCTTTTTCCTTTTCTTTCTGGAACAGAGCGAAGATCAGGGCTCCGCTGAACACAGCTTCTCCCTACTGGGAGGATTTTCCAAAAATAATAAAGCCGGCTTCTGTCCTTCAGCGGAGTCTGAATCCCTCGTCTGTCCCATCTGGGGTGCCAAAATTGTCGTGGAAATTATATTCCTGGTGAGGGTTGAGCAAAGAATTGAGTAACAACCAATTTTGAAGAATTTATTTAACAAAAGAGAATAAACAGAGAAGAACTAAAACACACATACAGCTGGTCCAGAGACCTGCCGACTAGGCCGGCATCGGGCGTCTGGCCCCAAGCAAAGGGATGCATCATCATTTACACTGTGTAGGTTTCTATGTTTTGGGGAACAGAGATCCTCTCTCAGCCTTGAATGAACATTCCAGGAGAGGAGAGGAACAACAAGAGAGGAAACACCAAAACAATCTCACAGCTCTGACCTAAACCCTAGTAAATGTGGACAGACCAACATAAGGAGAATAGGAGAGGAAAGGTTAAGGATAAAAATAAAATACTTATCTATAACAATAATAGCAATAATAATGATAATATTAAAAGATCATACATAAAAGATTAAATGTAAGAGGACACAATTTTCTGCCATAACAGTTATCAGCAGGTAATTTCACCTGTTGGACTTATTGTCCTTCTCACTTCTAAAAACACTGAGCGCCACCAGGAGCTCTCTGACCTTCTGACCTCTCATGCTCTCCACTCCTAAATAAATGTGATTTTCATCAGATGTCACATACTTTTTGATTTTCAACCTGAATCCTTTTATACTGATGTAGGAACGTGAAATTCCTGCTGCGCTCTGTGCCTGGACTCCCTGTTGCCTCTCTCTGCTGTCCACCCCATGATGCATAATATATCAGCATCACAGTTAAACCGAGTGGTGTCTCATCATGAGGAAACTTTTGATGTCTGTCTCTGAGATTTCTGCCTTCATCCTGATACAAAATAAATTAATTGATGCTGAATTACAGTTTTTCACAATTGCCACATTTCTTGAAACCTTCACCCATATTCTCAAGACTTTAAAAACAAAACCCAATCTTTAAACTACATTCACAAAACCCCTGACTCTTCTGGCAAAAATAAAACACTTGTCTCAAAACCATTTGATGTGTGCTCAAAATCAAACAATGCTTTCAAAACATAAACACAGCCAGTCAATAGATAAAACACTACAGAGCGTTCTTTAGACACTACATCAAAAAACTGAGAACACAGCGTCCAGGGCATGTAGTTACAGAAAATGGTTTTTTTGCGTATAGAGGAAACACATTTTCCAATTTAAAAATGATAGTAATCACAACTTAGTACAGTAAATATATAGTACACTGTAAGTACTGCAAGTAATACAGTATTGAATATCTGTATATTCAAATACAGTAAGCCCAAAGAACAAAGAAAACTATAAAAAGCAAATTACACTCAAATGTTCAATACAGTAAGAGACTTCATCCACATCACAACCTTGTCCCTCGCCAAGCAAATAAGGAAAATCCAACACTAACGTGTCTTTTCAGAGCAAATGTCTCAGTTACTCTCAATAAGATCAGTCAACAGTTTAGATTGAAACACATTTTTACAGAAGAAATAGTCCCTTAAAACCAACATCAGGTCCACTTCATGGCTGTTGCCAACCTTTGGGCTGCGTCCGAAAAGTCTTTTTTGCTTACGAAGGTTCCTAAATGAGTGAAGTGAGCCGGAAGTATTTCAGTGGCAGCCATGATATTGAATTCTCTAAAAGCTAAGGAAAGGAGCCTCAATGCTTTCTTTCATATCTCCTTTAGCATAGGGTACACCGGACCATCCTTTACCAAAGGAAAGGAGAAAATGGCGTCCCACAATTCCTTGCAGCGGCAACATTTAAAGCGACGCACGTTCACAAACTCAAAGATAAAATCCATGGACTGCATTTAGCAAGATCCTTGTAATACAGACGCACGTTATGATGCCTGAATAGACTCTCACAATTTCCTTCTTTCTTTTGGTTTGTTTTCTTTTGGCTTTTCTGTAATCTGATACTGTTTCAACGCCGTTTTATGTTTCGGATTGTTGAAGTATGTTAAAGTGTTTTCTACAATAATAAAGAAGAGAAATCACCGACCATGGTGGATAAAGGATGTTGATCAACATGTCAATTACCATTGGCTATTAAGCGTTTTCTCTCTTATGCTGTAACTCTCTAATTTACGTATGTCTTGAACTGTCAACAATAACTGAGACCCATGCCAGCTGTAGCATACTAGTCTTGTAATGTGATCAAAGTGTGTAGCTTCACATTATTTCCAGCCTCAGCAATATCATTAATGGATTTTACTTCAGTCATTGATGCTGACACCCTCGCCTTAATAAAGGCGCAGTGATCAAGCTGGATGATCTCTACAGTAAATGTAATGTATTATTTCAGTGTGGCGGCCCCCCACATTATCAACACTGACCGGTTTCCCCCCCCCAAATTAAAAACACAACCGACAGTTTACTGCTGGAAAAAAATTTTATTGATAGGCTACATAAAATAACCAAAAAGATTTTAAAATTATAATAAAAAACATGATGCATATCAATACATTTTTAAAGAGACAGAGGAAAACGTGTGCATGTAATGTGAAAAAAACTATTCAGTTTAAGTTTATTACATGCAAATGTAATTGAAACAAATGAGACACACACACACACACAGAAATTGAGGTACAGGAATGGACCTAAAAAGGTACAAATGCTTGGTCGCTCCAGCTGTACCCTAGCAGCGTACGAGGACTGTACCTTTGAAGTTGGTACAGTTTTGTACCTTCTTGTCTGAACCTCTAAAAGAACTTTTCTGCACCTCTAGTGACAAAAATGTTCCTTTACAATTATTCATTTAGTTGATACTTTTATCCAAAGCGACTTACAATATATATCTGGGGTCGCACTCCTCTGGAGCAACTAGGAGTTAAGTGTCTTGCCCAGGGACACATTGGTGGTTGTGCCATCACCAACCTTTCATGTCCTGGGGGCGGGGGATCACTGACACATCATTTCACTGTACTTTAAGCTTGTTAAAGGTAAAGTTATGTACAGGGTACTTTTTTGACAAATGTTCCTTTAGGGAAAAGGAATGATACGCCTATTTCTCTGTATGAATATGAAACAGACAAAGTTAAACTGTGTGGTGATCTGACACATTTTAATCCAAACTCTGAGCAGGCCTGTTGTAACTGACTGTACTCGGGGTTCCTATCTTCACCTCAGAGTAAACAGAGCTCTCCTCTGGTTCATGTTGCTTCCCTGTTAAAATAACCAATAAATCAATTGGCACTTCAGGTCAAACATCTCTAAAATATTTCTATTTATTGTATGTATCTGGAGTACTCACCTTTCTTCCCAGTGTTTTTAAGTTCAGTCAAAGAAAATCTTCATCCTGGGATTCATCTGCATCTGAAATATACATATTCTTTAGTTACAGAAATCTAATCCCATCTCACTTGTTTTGAGTATGGATTAGATTATCTAGTGCTGACTGTACAAGGCTGTTTGACTTCATTCAAGTAAATATCACTTGCCTTGTCTTAATTATTAAGTGTTTGTTATTCAGAGTTATATTTAGCTAAAGTCAAGGGAACATGTGTGTTACAGCACCTCCAGTATGCTCTGACACGTATTTTAAACTTTGAAGTTTCAAGACAAAAACATCTTATTTAAATTTTTTTGTTCATGAGTTAATTATTTTCAACCTATTAAATTTCATTGACAAAAACCTTTTTTAAATTTTGTTTAAAAGGGACAGCGTACAGTAAAACAAACGTTACTATTTGATGCACTGTACCAGATTACAGCTTCAAGCTAATTCAACACGACCTCGAGCCACATCGCTCAGCCCCAGCACAAATCAACAGCAAACAAAGTTACATAAACAGACAAGGTTACACAGAAAAAGACACAAGATGTACAATGTTAACTACTCTCAATGAAACATAACAAACATTTACCAGTCAATTAAAATAAAAGCAGGTCAAAAAATTTCAGATAAAATATCTGGTTTAGTGATCGCAAAGCTGAGTAGCTTTTAACTGCCATTTCAACTTTGCTTTAAACATATTGATGGAGTTGCTGCTCCTTACATCGTCAGGCAGGGTGTTCCACTGGTTTGTGGCTTTTATAGTATGACACAGTCTCGAGTAGAGGAGATCCTGAAAGACTTAATTGATTTTACTGAGGGAGTAAACACAAAATCACACAATGGAGGAGGAGCAAAGCATTTACAGTTTTATATACTAAGCACAAATTAGAAAATAACATAAAATTATCAAAACTAAACAAATTATATTTCTGAAGTATTCTGCAGTGATGATAGTGATTTTTGAGAGTTTGTTTATACAAAGACCCCAGAGGTTTAACATTTGTTTCACCAGCCTGCTCCCAACATGTAATGCAGTAAGACGTGTGTGAAAGGATCATGTCATGCATAAATATTCTAGCTGCACCAAAAATAGACAGTTTCTAATATGTCTACATTTAACTACATTGTACTTAATGGTTTAACCATATTTTAGACATGTTTCTTAAAATTCAAATTTGGATCCAAGGTCACACCAAGATATTTCAAATCAGTCTCTATGTCAATCCTTTCACCATTAACTAAAATGTCAGTGAGAGTAGGTTGTGCCAAGGAGTTAGAAAAAAACATACCTTTTGTCTTATTTACATTCAGACTAAGACCCGATTGATGAAGCCACTGTGGTGACTTTTTTGTTTTCCTCAGAGAAAGTAATAATCAATCGATTAGACTGATTAAAAATGATAAAACAATTTATTTACAGAATAAGAAAAGGTGAAATATTTACAAAGGGATCAAATAACAAAATGCTCGGGCAAAACACTTCTGTTCCAGATTAAAAATGACTTAAGATATTAAATATTCTTCAAAAGGTATTATCTTTTGAGACATATCTATTAAAGAATTTAGTCTTATTTAAAGGGCATTTTCACCTGTCAGTGGATGATTCGACAGCTCCCCCCATCTCTCGCTCCAAGAGGGAACTAACTGCCTCTCCCTACATTTGATTTTTATAACCCCTGAACATGCCACGTCTTAGAAATTGTGCAGTAACTAAATCCTTATTAGGTAAAAACACAGCGTTTCCCTTATCAAAAATATCTGGCACCTCTTAATGCTCCTTCCTGTTATCCTCAAACATTCTCAGTGAAACAGGGTCAACTTTATGACCGTGCACACTTTGAGGATTGTTTTGCCTATCTGTGATCTTTCCCTGTCAAACAGCTGGTTCTTGCCACTTCTAATGACTCTCATTTGTATTAAGTTTCCTTCTACTGTGGCTGGTCTTCTGTTTTCAAACAACCTAGTTTAATCAAAGGTCTCTATCCTCAAATGACCTGCTCTGTCACATACTAAACTGATGTTTAAACTATATGTGAACATTCATGCTACAGAGTCTATAAAGATTCTAGATGAAAAATTTAATTTGAAGAACTTTGATATTGACACGTCATGATCAACTGTATCAAATGCTTTACTTCGGTCTATAAATACAGCACTAATTCCTCCTCCTTTGTCGAGCCTAGATTTAATTTGCTCTATCAAGTGCAAGGTAGCAGTTTCTGTAGAATTATTTATTATAAAGCCAAACTGCACACAATGTAGACCAAACTTACTTGTGTAAGAAACGATGTTAGTCGCTCAATTACAACCTTATTTCTAAGACCTTTATATACCAACATATCAGTGTCCCTTCCTGTTTTAAGTGCCTTCCTAAGCGCAGTATCTCTCGATTTCAACAATTTCCACACCGTTTCATTAAACCAGGGTAAATTATTATGTTTCTCACATTTTTTTGTGGACTCTCACATTAAATCTTTCCCTCACTAAATTGACTAATGATGAGAAAGATTTACAGCCCATATCCAGTTGATCAGATGACAATATATAATCCCAGTTCAATGTGTTAATTTCACTAACAAACTGTTCTTGCTTAGATCTGGGTATGCACTGAAAAATCTTTGTCTTACTTGCCTTATTTCCAAATTTATTTTTAGTCAACTTTCTTGCACATAGGGTTAAGTTATAATCAGACAACCCAGTTATTAAATTTTAGCTTTTAGTTATTCGTTCTGGTAAATATCAGATTTTGCAATTCTAGTTGGACCTTTAATTAATTGTTCAAGGTGACCTAACACTCTTCTCTACGGATAGAAATAACATAAACCAGAATACATTTACATTAATGATTGCACATGTGGAAGAGACAGACAAACACATGTAGAACTTAATGCAAACTTACTAACTTTGAAGTAACTCTATCATTATTAATCACATGTGCCATCAAAGGTCTGTTGTTAATAAACGAGACTAAGAGTCCATGAAAGCAGACCTGTGAAGCTGCTGTGCTTTGGGCTGAATGCTGTTGGCAGCACATTTGTTAAGAATGTTCTAAACGTTTTTGGTGTTATTTCTGGTAATAAACTAAAGTATTTGAAAAAAGTCATCAAAGTCATTCAGCTCCATCCTCTGTGGAACATGAATGTCTTTACAAACTTTCATGGCAATCCGTGGCTCAATAGTTGGCACATTTTTCAATTTTAATAAATATTATCAAGTGCTCTGGCAACCAAATGTGCTTACTTTAAGAAAAACATAAGCTCATATTTAAAATGTTCAATTTAAATTTGAGAGGATGAATAAAAAGGTGTACTGTACCATTTTTAGTGTCTTTGGATCCTTTGATTGTTTCATAGAGACGAGCATCATCACCTGCAGAGCAGTGAAAATCAAACCATGCTGAGATTCATCAATTTAATTGCATGATACTAATTGTGGCGTGGTGACCAGAATTTCATTCCCTCTGCACATAACTGAGTAAACTTTCCATAACCTTCCTGTTAACAAAACCCCTGGGTCAAGAAACAGTCCTGCAGGACTCGCAGAGGATGAACAAAACAATAGTACAGGTCCAGCTGGTGAGGAACCCCATTATGAAGGTGACGTGCTTCGCTCCGGCCCGCACCATCTGATAAGACCCCAAATTCCTGCAAACTACAGGTGTGAAAGCAGCTGGCAGCCTGTCTGCTGTGTGTGTTTATACAGTATTATATATATACACAAACATATGAACTTCACTTTCAGAGGATGAATAACAAGGTGTGTACTACCATTTTCATTTTCTTTGGAGCCTTTGATTGTTTCATAGAGACAAATATCACCTACAGAGCAGTGAAAATAAAGCCCAGAGTAGATTAATCAATTTAATTCCATGACAATTATTAAACATATTCTGATTAGCTTTAAATGGCTCCTGAAATGTATATATGTGCAGCCTACATGTGTATGTGTAAAATAAATAAATGTATAAAATAATCAAAGGTTTAAATGCTGACCATGGAGAAGGGTGGAGTATTCATCACGTTGAGCCTCCTTCTGGTCGACCACATAAACTGTGTCAGGGCCTCGATTAGTGCTCTCAGACTGGATTGACCTACAACATGAATCAAACACAATACATATACAAAGGAACAAGAAATGTTGCTGCTGTGTTCAAAATTAGAGAAGGGAGTGTTGTACCAACCTGATGGAGCAGGAATCTGTGAAAAAGACATTTGTTGTTACATGGTTTGGTTTTGTAAGTTGTTATTCTGCTATTCTGTGTCATGAGATCAGAACACGTGTGTTTGAATAATTAAATCACATAATATCTAATAAAAGAAGAAAAGGTCTCACCTTTGGACAGTCTGTAGCGATACAAAAGGAGCAGAAGAAGAATAAGTACGATTCCACAAACCAGCCCAACAATCAACGGTACAGGAACTGAAGAGCTTTCAGGTCTGGACACTGATATAAATAAATAAATAATAAATAACTGTTAACTTATAGCTTAAAGCGCTTTTCATTAACAAAATGTGCTTTATTACAAATTTTAGTCATGTCACAACTACAACACATTCAAGCACAAATGCAGAGGTATAAACACATATGCACGTAGATAAACAACATAAATCCCAGTCTCAATGTCATGTAATGTTTTGACACACATGAGTACTTATAGTACACTATATAACAGAGTACAGTGTGAAATTATCCATTCACAATAAACATGACTGTCACAACCACTGATGCAGACTTTCTCCAGCTCCAACAGGTGAAATCAGCTGAAACTGATGCTACTTCAGATTCAGGTCAGTATTTGACCATGTTTCTTTCTCAGACAGAAACACAGTTTACACAGAAGAAGATGCAGCAGTTGTTTTAATCCTACTCACCTTTAACTGACATCCAGCTCTGTGCTGACTCTTCTCCTGAGTGTTGACACTTGTAGAAACCCTCATCTGACTTCAACACTGCAGAGATGTTCAGCTCCCTTCTGCTATCATTTTGAATCAGTTTGTCACTTCGATAGAAAAACACGTCTGAAACTAATTTTTCTGTCCTGAACTTGCAGCTGAGACTAACAGGATCTCCCTCAGTCACAGGACGGACAGGGCTCACCAGGATAATATGTTCATCTGTAAAACAGAATATGAGGTTTCAGTCAGAGATCAGCTGCTGCAGAACTTCAGAATAACTGGATGGAGGACGATGAGAAGAGATCACAGATTAAATTTTGGAGAATCTAACTGATCCAACGATGTGCAGCACGTACATACCAACAAAAATTGTATTCACAATCTATGCAGCCTAGAAGCAGCTAAAGAGGGCGACCCCCACGAGCTTTAAGTGGTTTTATACATCCAAAGAACTTCTGTAAAAACAGACCAGGCGTCTAATCGAGACCTGCTTTTATTTGTCAAAATGTTTACCCACACCAGTAATCGGGGTTGGCTGCTATTTGGGACTCGGCTATTCATTAAAGTTTTACGGTAAGGACAGATCAAACCCACACAAATCTTCTGTATAGCTACATCCAGTCATCGTCACAGTAAGGTGATGAAATGTGTCTCAGCCTCAGCAGGAGAGACATGTGACTGTGACTCTCTTTGGAAACAGAATGAGATAAAAACTGACTGTGACATTTGTACATGGTTAAAATCACTGTTTTATTAAATACTTACTATGTTACTGAAAACAATTGAAAAGATTTGGTGGCCAGTATAGATTTTAGGGAGTGGTTTACAAAATGGTTTAAACCTCAGGGAAACACTTGTGGTTTGACTGCAGTCGATGATAAGTCAAGTCTATGGCTTTGTTAATGGGTACATATGAAACAGAAAGTGGATGAAACTGACACAATAATACCAGTGAGAAGGTTAAAATTTTTAGTTTTAAGGGCAAAACACACTAAAAATCTCATCTGTGAAATATTGACATGGTCAGGAAATATTGTTTGCAGTTTTTTAAATAAAAACCAAAGATGTTTTAAATTAAAGAAACTGACTGCACACCAGAAACTTCTGCTCTGGACCAACTTCAATTATTTGGCATTACCTGTTTGATCAGCACATGACTGAATTATACTGCAGTGCAGAGGACGTCAGATTTTCTACCTGATTTAATAATATTTGTTGTGTAATAATCTTTAGGAAAAACAAATCAATGACATAAATCTTGAGCATTTTAAGTGAATGATTAAAGACAACAAAATGTAACAAAAGAGATTTTCTTATTTTAACTTTTTTATGTACAAATGTTAAATGTTGATGTTATTTAGTAATGATTAAAAACTCACATTAAAATTCAAGTATTATAAAATATGTTAAATCTACAGTAAATAGATAAAAGGTTTTGGTTCATAGTTAATTACTCAGATACCATGAAGCAGTAATGGGCCAAACTCTTGTCAGATTGTCAGTACATCATCCTCCTCAGTGTAAATGTACACAACATCTAATATTCAGTATGTTGAAACACATAATATGATGTTTAAAATAATTTATACAGCACAGAAAACATAATGAAACCATACTCTGTAGTGATGTTGACTGCGTTGCTGAACTCTCCTGATCCAGACTCACACCAGTACACTGCATCACTCTGCTGGTTACTGTTTATGCTGCATGTGGATCCAGTCATTGTGCCCCAGTAGGAGCGACATGATGAGTATGACGGGTAGTCGTCCTCAGTAAACCTCCTCACTCTCCACTCAGTAGAGTTTCCCTCACAGCTCAGTGAGACAGAGTCAGAGGTGAAGTGTTGCACTCTGTCAGGACTCACTGTGAGAGACGCTGATGAATGAAAATCTGAAAAACAACATGTAATAATGGGTCAAAGCAAACAGAAATCTTAAGATTTAAAATGCTACAACGCAAATATTCCTTTATTGCTGAGTATTAGTGCAAACATTAAAACAAGGTGCAGTGTTTTGGTGAAACTGGTTTCTACTTGAAAACTTGCTACAATCTGAGTTTATTTTAAATGATAAACAACCAAGTGACTACAGCTGCTGTTGTCTGTAAAGTGGGAAACTACCTACTTTCACCTGCCATCTTTCAAAGATACAGAGGTGAGTATTTCAAACTGAAACGTGCTGCATTGTCTCTCTAGACACAGTCAGTGTTTTCCTCTTATTTGTTAAAGTCGTCTCTGTTTGTTCAACTTGTCCATTAACCTGCTGATTTCTTTGGTTTGTCATTAACTGATTTTCACTCCTCTGTCTGTCTCACACCTACCTGACCGCTAACCAGGTGTCTTCTAACTACACGTCCTGCCTGTTGTGTCAGTAAAGTATAAGCAGTAAGATGAGCTTCAGTATCCAAAGTAAAAGTACTCATTGAAATAAAGAAATAAAGTTTCAGCAAAATGTCTCTTTTTGGTGTTTTTATGCTATCAGATGAATTAATAAAAGGAAAACAGTATAAAGACAGAAGGAAACAAGGAAATCCTCCCAGTCCAGTATGTAAAATCACCCAGTAAGGTGGAAAGCAGAAAGTTTGTCTTGATGCTGGTGAGAGAGGAAAGATCACAAGGTCACCACAATCAATACATTTCTTCTGTTGGGGGAGCATGAATGTACACAGCCAATTATTTGTCAGTATAAGTGTTAGTTTTAAAGATACTGTATGTTGGTCACAGACAGAAAGTGGATGAACCGAGGTGAAGACAAAACATCTTGAGAGAAGCACAGACAGAAACAAACTGACCTGCAGACCAGACAAACTTTGGTTCACTGTCATCAGTGTAATACACTGGATCTCCTCTTCCAGCTCTGCACTTATATCCTGCTGTGTGTGTCTGTCCATGAACGATGTAGGAATCCTGTTCAGTCCCGTTGCTGCTGCCAGGTAGCAGCTCTTGGTCGTAGTAGTTGGCTGATAGTTTGGGAACAGCCTTAAACCAGAAGAACCTCCATCCTGCAGATGGATCTTTAACTCTGCAGCTCAGAGTTACTGAGGCTCCAGGACTCAGCCAGGATGGAGACACAGTGAGGACAGGCTGGGGTCTATCTGTTGGAGAGGGATTTTTACAAATAAAAACATGTAACAACCTTTAAATGAACTGTATAATATTCACTTTGAGAGAAATGTGATGTGACTCACTGTCTGATACTGTTAATTTGACAGGATCACTCCAGTCTGTTGAAGACTGCTGTGCACTTTTCATTCTGCCCTTACACCTGTAGTCTCCACTGTGGGATGAGTAAGCAGATCTAATCCTGTATTCACTGTCGTTTAAAGGTTTGTATGAGCTGGTTTTTCCACTCGTACTCCCACTCAGTGTCTCCTCCGTCCTTGATCTCACATCTCAGACTGATCGTCTCTCCTGAGTATATTTCAGACCAGTTTGGTTGCAGAGTCACAACAGACCTGTTTGTGACTGTTCATGATCATGAATTCATAGTGAGGATACAAAAATGACAAAATGGTAAATCTATAGCAAAATCTATTTATCAATTAATAATTATGGATTCAAAACTGTTTTTAAATTATGTTTCAAAAACAAATCAAACTCACTAATTTTGTTGATGCTGACTGGATCACTGTCCTCTGTGTAGTAAACTGGGTCTCCTCTTCCTCCTCTGCACCAGTAGAGTCCTCCCTGTGAGACACTGATTTGTCCATCTGAGATGAAGACAGCATCTTGTGTGTTCAGGGGTTCAGAGGTTTTCTCTCCTCTGTACCAGAAGTATTTCCAACCAGATGACGGGTTCACAGAGCAGCTCAGGGTCACACTGCCCCCTGCTGGAAAGTCTCTCCTGTCAGCGCTCAGTTCAGCCTTTGGTCTCTGTGCTGTTTGATTTAGAACAAAGACATAAAACAAGGAAATTACTGTCTGTGCAGCCCCACAGGCAAGAAATACATTCAGTTTTGGTCAAGTTTTAAACCTCTCTCTCTTTTCCTGTGTTTCTTGTGTTTATCTCTACTGAAACTATCCATGAGAACAATTCACCAAATTTGCAAGATGAAATATTTTCCTCATTTTGACACAGCAATCAAAACAAACATCATACTTTGGCATTTCATTACCACTACAAACTACCACTTTATTGAATTTTGATTACATTTCATTCACAGTCAACATGAGCAAGAGGAAAGGAGAAAATAGGTTAAGTTAAAACTTGAAATGGTAAGAATTAGGAAGAAGTAATGATGCCGCCTGTATTTTATGATAGTGTCTTTGTTACTGTGTGACCTGAAGAGAGCGACATAATTGTTGTTGTTTTCTGTTGCGTTATTTACATTTTACATTTTCATTACAGATGACAGACGGTCCAACTTACATGATACTGTCAATTTGATGACATCACTCCACTCTGTTGAGGAATATGAGTCTCTTCTACCCTTACAGCTGTAGTCTCCACTGTGGGACACAGTAGCTCTGATGATCCTGTATTCTTTGTCTGTTGTAGGTCTGTTTAATTTGTCTGGTGTCCATTCATACGTCCATTTAGTGTCTCCTCCTCCCTTGATATCACATCTGACAGTGAACGTCTCACCACTGAAGATCTGAGTCCAGTTGGGTTGGAGAGTCACAACGGCCCTGTTGGACACTGTTTACACAAAAAATACCCAGTTAGGATACAAAAATAAAAGAAGAAAGGATACAAATGGTGAATCTACATCAAAACGTAATTGATTTATTAATTAAAAAGCTATGGATACAACATTTTTTACATTATGTTAAAAAAATTATGGAAGCACATTACATTCAGCAAAGAAAAAAAATCAGACAACTTATCTCGTAATTACGAAAACAGATGTTATAATGATGAGATCAGGAACTCCTAATTATCAATAAAGTTAAGGAAGACTAGTTAGACTATCAGTCATCGCTGACCTACAGTGAAAGACAATGATTGAGCTCATGGATTTAATCTGCTTTTCCCCTTTTACTGTATGAGACTCTGGAAATATTGATGTCACTTAATGTGGATGGCATTAATATCAGTATGTCAACATTGCGGTAACATCGTGTCACAGCAGATTTCAAAATAAAAGTGAGCTTCTGGTGAACATAATGTAATATTAAATGTGTGTGGCAGAAATGAAAGATGAAATAATGAAATAAATAAATGATTAAGACTACACAAATTTTTGAAAAATGTCTGACATTTTCACTGAATTTTCTCTGA